AATGTGAGGCACTGAAACACAGGAGGCAGGCACGTATGAAATTATACGTCCTGAAGAATATGACGAACATCCAACCCGAACCTGAACAAACTAGTACAGGGTATCATGAGAAGATGGGGGAATAAACGCAATAAGCCCAGGAGGCTGCAGTGTTTTCTGGAGGCTTGAACTAAATGGACAAGTCAGACAGCTCCCAAGGTACAAAAAAATGGTTTCGAGAAAAAATATACCAATTGAGGAAAGTATGATTGAAAACGAACTGTCGTACACAGTATGTTCAAATACAGCTTCTTTCACAGAATATGTACAGAAACGAAATATTATTATTCTTTCTGCCCCTTCATCATTGCTAACTTGATCCCATTCAACTTCTTTGGGCTCAAGTGAAGGGTTTTTATTGCCGAAAAATGGCGAAAGTGTAATGAACATGTTTATCTACTTCTACAATTCTAGAAGTAGGTTTATCTGATAATAGCCTACCATAATTTTGGCTTATATAATTTCATCTTGAATGAGCATACATTTTCATGCGAATATTTTAATTTGGAGTGTTATAACAAACAGGTCGTTACTTTTATGATGTGGTAACATTGCTATATCCTAACCTGTAACAAATATGAAGAGGATTCAGTGGGGAAAATAAGTATTTATCATGGGGAACAGTTCAATAGGCGAAGAAAATTCACAGGGACTTTCACTCTTCTCGAGTCAGAAGGGACAGCTGAAAATGCTGTTTTTGGTTTTCCAGGAAACATAAAAAATAACGTATCGCTAGTGCACCAAAGCTGTCTTCTGAATGAATAAATCGATTTTCAAAAAGTATAGCAGCAATGAATAGGGAATCCAAAGCCCTTTTCTATGAGTTATCACCCCATTTCAATTGGAAAAATTTTGGGGGTGAAATCAAAACTTGCCCGTCTCACAATTTGTGAAAAGAATTTTCTCGGGCAGGAGATCAACCTTACGTTATCATTTCTATGGCCACTGTTTATTTTTTTCTAAACTTTGATGTTTTGCCTCTTTTCAGTTTTTTACTATATGATGTCGTTGATCGATGTTCGGCTAATTTTTCTCTACGAATTCGAATTGAACCAAAACGCTGCCGAAACAGCCGAAAAAATTACCCAGGAATTTTACCCGGATAATTTAGCCTCGAAGACCAGTCTCTTTGCTATTAGTGATATCAAAAATCATGGAGAAAGTCGTAAACCACTACATCTTTGAATATTTGGTAGGCTTCAATATCTGGAGCGATCATCAATATGACTTTCGGAAACAAAGATCAACAGGCGACCTTCTATGGTATGTCACTCATATTTGGAATAATATAATCGAGAAACATTGATATTTCCAAAGCATTTGCCCATGTGTGGCATGAGGGTTTACTGGTCAGTCTTTGATGCTATGTCTTGTAGGATCATTTCTGTGTATGGCTCTCCAGCTTCTTCAAAGAACGGCCACTTGCAGGCAGCAAGTGGCAGGCAGCAAGTGGCCGTCGATGGATATATCTCGAATACTTTCACCGTCAACGCTGGTGATCCCCAGGGATCCATATTGTTTCCAACTCTCTTTTTATTGTATATCAACAACTTATTGAAAAAAACCAAGAATCCAATATATTGTTTTGCTGACCACAGCACATTTGTCTCGTCATTTCATTTGGATTCCAGGACATCGGCTACGGAAGCACATCTTCACCGGCAGCAGGAGGTTGCATGTCTTAATGAGGATCTAGAAGTGATTTCAAATTGGAGTGAAAGTAACCAGGTTCAATTCAATGCCACAAAAACCCAGGTATCGGTTTTCTCCAAGAAAATAAATGTCTCCGAACCGGATATAATAATGTCAGGTCAGACAATTCCGCTTTCTGCTTCGATAAGTTTGTTGGGAGTTGAAATGAACACCAATATATCTTGGCTCAATCATGTTGCTGGAATCGCAGAGGCTGCTTCCCAAAAACTTGGAACACTGTTCCGAACCAGAAAACTGTACACACCCCAGAAACTTTTAATGCTTTATAAAGCTCAGATCAGACCTTCTTTGGAGTATTGTTTTCATGCAAGGAGCTTTGCCTCCAAATATACCCTGAAGTTGAAGTTGCACATCACGGGCAACCTTGATAACCTGGAACATCGATGAAAGGTTGGAGATTTGTCTCTCTTCCAAAACACACTTGATTACACTAAGACCGGTACATATCAGAAATACGCGACGAACTGTGGCTGCTCATCGTTTTGAGGTTCAACTCAGTACTCCTCGCATTCCTCGATTCCACCAAGATTCCACCAAGAGCAGTTCAAGAACTCTTCCATCTGAAGAATTGTGTTTAAGTAAAATAAACTTCCTGAAAACGTTTTTCCAAATGAATTTATTCTCCAGCGATTCAAATCCAATGTGAATCGCTACTTTCGCACAGGCACCGCTCTGAGAGCGCCTCAAAGATTTTTCTGATGCTTGTGTTTTGTTTTTGAAAAAAAAGATAGGTCTCGAAGTGATCGACCTACACTAATCCGGTTCGTGGATTAGATGACCCTGGTGGAGACTGTCCCATTACAAACGGTGCGTGGGATGGCAGAAAAACTGGACATCAGCTCTCATGCGGTTTTTTATCGCAACGTATTGTAAACGTATCGTAAACGTATTGGAAAAGTCAAAAATCTCGATAACAGGGTGCCTCACGATTTAAACAAGCTACAGAAACTGTCACGTCTCGAAGTCTGTTTTTCTGTGCTTTTGGGTAACTGAAACGATCCTTTTTTAGATCGCGGATATACACGTGTGATAAGAAGTGAATCTAGTACAACAGGAGACGTTCAGGACAATGGTTGGACACCGATGAGCCACCCAGGCACTTCCCACAGGCGAAAACTCGCTAAAAAACATGCCTACTATATGGTTATTCACTGGTGTTATTCACTATAACTTTCTGCAACCGGGCAAACTTATTCTGGGGAAATCAACGAAATGTACAGAAAATTGCGCCAGCAGCAGATGGCACTGCACAACAGAAGGGGTCCAATCCTGCTCCACGACAACGCCCGTCCGCACGTTTCACAAATCGCCGCCCGAAAATTGAACGAATTGAGCGTCTCACTCACCATACTCCCCAGACTTCTGGCCAACCGACTACCATCTTCTCAAAAACTTTGATAACTTTTTCACCGGTAGAATCTTCGCCAATAAGGATCAGGCAAAAACGACTCCATCGAATCCCGATCACACATTTTTTCAACATAATGCGTAACTTGATATTATACAAAAAGTTTATATATGAAAGAAGCTTTAATCGATAACGCTGCCTAATCCCTTTGAGATACAACAAAACAATCCACCGTTTGTATTGAAGTGATTTTCAATTTTTTCGAATTTTACAAGCTTGTTAACAGATTTGAAATCTGTGGAAGTATAAAATGGAAATGAATGAAGTGTAAAAATTTACGAAACAATTTTTTTTCCAATTACAGAGCTGCAATACTCTTCTTAACTCGCATTTCACNGTTTCACGAACTTTTTAGAGTAACCATCCTGTTGAAGATATCTTGCCTAGTTTCCTATCAAGACTCACCTTTATTTCGATGATTAGTTAGTAAATGGCCTATTCCTTACAATTCAAGACCATTTGCAGGTCATTGAGATGCTTTCTTCTCTATATACCCCCTCTTCTCTTCTTTTTCCATTTCTGCCTTGGTTGATTCTGCCTTCGTTGTTCAATATGTACGCAACTTACTTGAATTTTCTCTCATACCACTGTTCCTCCATGTGAATAATTTCAGCTCTTGCCTAGTTCCCTGTCAAGACTTTCCTTTGTTTCGATGATTAGACAATAAATGGCCTATTCCTTACAATTCAAGACCTTTTGCAGGTCATTGAGATGCTTTCTTCTCTCCTCCCTCTTCTCTTCTTTTCATATTTATGCCTTGATTAGGGGTTTGTATACTTGCGGATCACCACACTGACCTGGCTGAATACTTCGATGTTCAATATGTATGCCACTTTCTTGAATTTTCTTTTAAGCCACTGTTCCTCCATGTGAACAATTTCAACTCTTGCCTAGTTCCCTATCAAGACTTTCCTTTGTTTCGATGATTAGTCAGTACACGGCCTATTCCTTGCACTTCAAGTCATTGAGATATTTTCTTCTCTACCCCCTCTTCTCTTCTTTTCACATTTTTGCCTTTATTACGGGACTCTATACTAGGGAGACTCCAATGATGTACTTATCAGCCTCAGATCTTCTGCACTGGTTGTGACCTCTATAACGTTGGCAAGGTCACTTGCTGAAATTGATATGTATTTTTTCCAGTTGCCGCGCTCCTGTTTTTTCAATAAAAGGTAGGCTTCGCTAACTTGATATCAAGTTGGCTCCGCCACCCTCGTGAATTTTTTGAATGAACTCAAAGGCTGAAACTTCTAGTATTACTATGTCGGGGGTTTGAGGAATTTTTAAAAACCCCACGCGGTAAAAATCTTGCGGAAAATTGTATCAGTTATTGTGAATATAGATTTTCATCAAGCAGCGACCAGTTCCTTCCAATATCTTGTGTTGTAAGAATATTTTGCACCTTGTTGCAACATCGCAATATGTAAAATTGATTTCTTCATCAATTTCTTCAAGAGATCGTGAACGAAACAAACCAGAATTGATTTGTCGTATATCTCCGCTGAAAAAAAACCAATGTTTTCTGAATGAAGACGGTAATCCTATAACTTGATGAAAGGTAGAACATGAACCTCTGACCTAGAATGAATCTAAAACAAACATTTTCTCCGAACACCAGTACGACAACACTTTTCCCGACGCGCGTTTCACCAATCAAGTCGGCGTCTTCAGGAGATGAAGTAGTTTGTGTTGTAAAAAATATTTCGCAATACATATATTTTATCCGTTTATCACGAAAGGTCGTGAGCCAGTAAGTTATTTGACAGAATTTATAATGTTGAATAAATTGAGTTGTAATAAACTCCCCGATCTCAATTGATTTATTTTCTATTCTTTCCAGGTGGATAGGATCCCGCCGCTCGGGGACGGTGCGCCGCTACACTGGAAATTCTCCGACACGCAAACGGCACTCTGTGATCAGGGCTATGGCTCAGAGCGCTCCCCCGAAGAGGAGTATCCACCGCCGCTGCCTGACCACGACCACCTCCAGTACCATCACCACCTAGAGCCGCACGCCCCCTACCCCTTCGTGACGCCAGGTGAGGAAAAAATATTTCTTGGGAGTGGTTTATCTAGTTATTTCGTCATCGTGTCGTCAAAAGTGGAAATGTATAATGCAATGACAATTTCTGTTTAAAAAAACTGAAAAATTATTGAATGAGAGGCCCTCATTATCTCTTTTTGAATCATATGGAAAGCATTTTGTTATATTAAGCTAGAAAGGGATGATTAAATACGGAGTTCCACAAGGGTGTGTTCTAGGTCCTCTATTGTTCGTAATACATGTAAACGATATTTTTTCCAACGTGGCTCTCTACGGCTGCAGCGCCTTCGTTGATGAAACAACTATAACCATTCTTCCAAATATATATTAAACGTAGGGTTCAGCAAGCGTTTGCAATGAAAGCGCAAAAAATGTGTTTATGTACGACATCACATTAAAAGCCTCTAAAACTATCATTGTTTCTCCACTATATTATGCTTGTTATATACATATAAACCTTCCTCTTGAACCACTCTATCTATTTAAAAAACCCGCAAAATCCGTTGCGTAGTTTTAAAGATCTAAGCATACATAGGGACATGCAGTGGGAAACGATTTTGTTTTATATTACATACTGATACTGTAACGAATCTGAAGCCGCCCCTAACCGATACGCCAGCCGACTCATCGAACAAACACATGACCTCACCGCGAAAAAATGCAGTCTGGAACCGCCGGTAATATTCTAGTCGAGTACCGCACCGTCTACAAAATTCTCGAAAGGACCTTTACCGACCCAAGAGGGCAGTTCAAAAAGTGAATCGAGCGGCTAAACAAGAAGTCCAACGTCATTTCTGAAATCCGCTAGCCACACCAAACGAAATCCACACGAAACCCACACCAAACAATGACTTTTTCAGGATGCATTGAACGCTCTTGGATCTCATTTGATTTTGTACCGTTTCAAATTCGACAATTTTGTTTGTTCACGTACCCATTCATCCAGAAATGGGCCTTTTTACTGAATGATTTTTTCGTTTAAAATTAGGGGTCAGTTGCCAACTGTTCCAGAGTCCATTCAGCGAACACACGGCGTTGTCTATAGTCGTTTACCTTCAGTTCCTGGATCAGTTGAATTTTGAACAGGTGCAGCCGTAAGTCATGCAAAATTCGACGTGTTGTGGTCTGCAGAAGGCCAAATTCTTGTGAGCAACGCGAAATCTACCGCCTTGTATTCCGTTGCGTTTCGTGTACATACAGGTGTTGGCCGATCGTTTACTCAACCAGTGGACCCAAATTTATCCACCACATTTCGGAAAGTCCTCTTGGTAGGACGATTATGGCGACCGTTAAATGGGCGAAGCGTGGAGACGTTGCACAAACAAAACTCCACGACAAATATCGTCTTGCTCTGGTAGTCAAGAGGGACTACGTCAGGCTAAGTAGTTTGTATGAGCCTGGCGGTGGGGAACGAATAGTTTCAATAAATTCAACGCTTCTCGTTCCCCCCGTAGGGCAACACCGGTGTCTCGTCAATACTGTAGATGGTTGTAGGCCAAGACTATGCTGGACATGCTAAAAGCAAGTGCATTAGGGTCTCGGACGCCTCGTGGCAGGCCCTGCACCTTCTGTCAGGAACCTATTCAATCCTCAAGCGACTGCGATACCATCCTGGAATGCCATGATGAACCCCCCAGTTTCCGACTTTAGCTCACTCGAACTGAGGAAAGCGAAAGTCGAAAGTCAGGCGCTTTGATAAGCAAAGCCAATTTATATATGGTGAGCCAATCATTATTATTTTCATTACTATTATCATTATTATTATTATTAGTTTTATTTTCTTCAACCGTAGTTTGCGCTGGTCGGGCCCTATCCCCCGAAGCCCCGATACATTCAGGGGGGGCGCCAGCATTATCAACCAACGACCACTCCCCACACCGTGGGGTGAGTGATAATTGAGTCCGAGAATCATGTGCCCTGGGCAATCGCAGTTAGCCAAGAAATGACAACCTTCTGCATCTGTCCTGCTAAAAATTCTGCCTTATTGCGGCAAGCCGGTATGATTTTTATGATTGGACAGTAGAGAGGGCATCATTTCACCAAGAACTCCAATAATCAGAACAACAAAAGTTCCAATAAATTTGGCACTTCTCGTTCCCATAACGGATTCAAATTCAACAGAACGTAGAGCAACACCGGTGTCTTGTCAATACCGTAAGAGTGCTGTCGATTACCATCTAAGGACCCCGTGTTATATCGATGGATATAGGCCAAGACCGCATATGCTGGACATTCTGTTAGCAAGTACATTAGGTTCTCGGGCGCCTCGCGGCAGGCCCTGTACCTTGTATCAGAAACCTCTATATCCATCATGCGACTGCGGCAGACTAAGGTGTTGAAGACACCATCCTTGCAAGCCATGATGAACCGCTCAATTTCCGACTTCAGCCCACTCGACCTGAGGAAAACAAAAGTCAGACGCTTTGATAGGCCAAGGTCTCCAGTCATTGAAGAAGACCCCATGCATTGGCTTATCCTTGTGTTTCCGCAGAAGTGAGGTGATGTCTGCGGCTTTTATCTGAGCTTTTTGCTGAACGGGTTCCAACTCGGTGACAGAGTTGTGGTTACCTCGTTCAGTGTCGAAAACTAAACCTAGTTCACCAGCTGCTCGGGCAGCTGCCCTAAAGAGAATTGATTCAATTTCTGCTTTTTTATGGTCACAGACCATGCAGAGAATGGGATTCGAACTTCTGACTACTTTACAGGCTATATCCAGTAACATTGTGTCATGTAGACACTCCAAACTCAAAAGTTTACGGCCTCCCTGTTGTCAAGGGAAGTACAAACGTGGAACAGAAGGATTGGGATGCAAACTCCTATAGAGATGCATCATTTTTCGGGTCTTTACGTCAAGTTGATTCAGCTCTGCCCGAGTCCACTTCACTAGTCCAAACGAGTAGAGTAAGTAACATTGGAACGGCAAGCATATTTGTTGCAGCAACTTTGTTTTTCCTCGATAGTTCCGATGACCGGATCTGCCAAAGTTTGTGCTGATACTTGCCGTGGACAGAGTTCTTCACTGCTGTAACCTCTTGTAGTGGCGTCATTGCACCCCGAGGTAAGTATACGTCTCTCCGGCATCCAGATGGTGTAGGATGCTTCCATCTACGATCTGCACATCCTCTTCGTAGTCCTCGCATCGTCCTCTTTTAAGATGGACAATTGTACGTTTGTCTATCCCAAAGTTCATGCCGATAGCATGCATGTACTCTTCCACCACCTTCAAAGACTGATTTTATTATTATTATTTTCAAGTAATTAATTCCTCACATTTCTATTTCAACAACAAAATCGAATCAACAACTTTAAAGGAGTAACTCCTATTTCAGCAACCAATTTCCTGAACTCCACCCTGTATACCTGTGAGTTTATTTGTGTTCGTATAAAACAATAGAACAACCCATCTTGAGATTACATGCCATGTAACTCTGTGTGAAAAGAGACCACTTTGCATTGTAGAATCCGACGGTGATGTGTATTTTCATGGGTGGATCACCTAGGAGGCCTCATCTTAATGCAAACCCCTACTTCGAATCAAAACACCCTAGGATCGCAAAGTAAATAGGTAGCGTGGAACTGCTGAAAGCCGAAAGCACGACGTGTATTATCTGAAATAAAGGGGGACCGACCCGGCAGTTTATACTAACTTGGAATCTTGATCTGGTTTTTGGAGAGGAAAATATTTATGAACTGATTCAGAATATATTCCGCACTTCACGTTATTGCACAAATCATTCGATTTGGTAGTCATATTATATAATTGAGGGTGGTGCGTTATTATGAAAAAAGTGCCCATTTTCAGACAACATCTTGAAAGTCTGCGTGGAAGACTGATCCATACTGGACAAGTGGATAACTGAAATGAAGATTTCCACAGTACAGTAAATTCCAGCTTCGTGTCATGTTTGTTTTAGACTATCCTGTATACCGGGTGTTTTTGCCGAGTATGTTCTTGGGATGCCTGTTTATTCTTTAATCTTGACAATAACTGAAAATTTTGTGTCGACCATTTCGGTGACATGTGTTCCGAGAACATGTTGGATGTTCGTTCTTCTATATATTCCGACATTTCTGCTATGCTCGATTCCACATATACTTCGGTGAATAAACCCTTCTCTGCACCCTCTTCAGTTTGTTATTAGCGTTCATTCATTTTATCTTTGGTCACCAGCTCAGAGACGCAGATGTTATCATGGGTTCAATTGCCATGCTGTAAAGCCAATATAACATACCTAGTTTGAACCCCATATCTTTCCGCGAGTGCGTCTGACTACCATCAATGTTACCTCTTCCTTTTCTACATATTTTCTAGATGTTGGTGAATGCTACTATGGAGGAGCGCTAGAAGGTCTATTGGAGTGAAAGTATGATGGCTGACTACTGTTGGATCATCCAGAATAGTAGTATCACTCCTACTCATTCAAGAAAGTCACATGAAAGAAAGTTTTGTTATATGACGTACAGCTTCCACTATACGGAGAGAATTTTTTAAATTTTCGTACACTCTACAGACAATCTGTTTTTCTTCTAACGACATAAACTTCAGCATTCTTTGTACATTACTTGGACCTGCTACGGCATACATCTTGATACTATAAAAATAATAAAATTCAATCATAATATTCAGCTATTTGTCAGTTTTTTACTTACCTCAAAAACTATTTTGAAGTTGATGTATTTTGAAAAACACTTTATTGTGAGATTTTTACTAGAACAGAGTAACAAATCCGCGACACGTATTTCGCTGCAGGGTAGCTTTTTCGAACGTGTTCACTAACAAAAGGAATTCTACATACATTGTGATTTATATATACTTTTTGAAATATTACTATCTACCTAGAATTTAATAATATTCCTCTTCAAGGCTGC